GTTCTCCGCAAGGGAAGACAACGAAAAGGTGGGCTTCTCTCTGTCTCAGCGTTTGGAGTGTTTTAAAGCATAGTATATTTCTCGATTCGTGAGAAGTGGAAGATAAAATATACGTATGGTAGTGTATTTCTTTTCTTCTCAGTGGCCTGGAGTGCGGTGACTAAATAAATTATTAAGTAAGCATATAAAAAGAAGCTAAAGAGCAATTTATCGAAAAAAATACATACATACATATAACATCATTCATAATCTTGCGGATTCAATACAAATATGTCATTTAATCTCATTTTTTTCTTGAGTTGGTAAATACGATAACGAAGCGAGAAAATAGAACCTTGTAAATAATTTTGGGTATCTGAAGTAAGGTTAGAGAAATAGATAAATACTTAAGAGCTTGATAATGCACTTATCCATAGTTTCAAACAGCAGTCTAAGATATAAATTGAGAACAACAAAGTCGCAACGGAATGCATTGTTGCAGACGCCCAACAAGATTGGCATGTTCACTAAACTCCTATTATCAATATTTATCGTCAATATTTCATAGGCTACGTTATATTTATTGTCTGTTTATGGGCTATGATATGAAAAAAATATGATTGAAACTAAATTAATGCTATCGATACTACCCTTGATATAAAGCATGATGTAATGTATTCAAGGATTTGCAATTATGCGAAGGTGAAAGACGGATAAGGACATTGCATTTTTCTTTTGTTCTCGTCATAATGGGAGGAAGACGATAAGTGTGGAAATCATGTCTTCAACGTCTATTCTTTTCACATTTGTTAAACGCTCATTGTCTCTTTTTTCATCCCAAAACATTCATCATATATCGATATTTTTCCTATATCTTGTCAGTATTTATCATTCTTTCATGTCTCGACGGCCTCTTCTCCCATATGAAGACACGGAGACCGGCCTTTGTCTCGCATCTTCATTGAAAGAATCTATTATTTTTTTATGGATAATCTCTCTCGATTTTCAGATTCACACGCGGCATAATCTTCAGTCATTATATCAGCATACTAACTTGTTTTCGTTTGCCTTCAGATGAGGGCCGGTGGACTGGCCTGCGCTTTGCTTCTCCTCGCCTCCGGGGCATCCCACGCCCTGCCCCAGTACGGCGGCGCGGGCGTCCAGCAGCAGCAGCAGGAGGGCCAGGTGGGTCAGCAGCAACAGCAGCAGGAGGAGGGGGGGTTCTGGTGGCAGGATAAGGGCGTCTTTGAGAGTCAGGTGAGGTCGGCGTCGGCGAAGGGGGCGGTTCCGGTGCTGGTCTCGACTCACGTAGACCGTAGATTCTGTCTCCTCGGCTGGCTCCTCGCCGCCCTAACCCACGGTCCTCGCGGATGGCATCTCGACGCCGCCCGCTCCGTGTCCTCATGCATGCCTTTCTTTTAGTCTTTGTTTAAACTTAACGAGGGCGGAGTATCATAAAAAAGGAAAGAAAAAAAATCTGCGCCTCGCATTCCATTGGTAATTGTTCTATTTTATTCATTCTTTCGTATCTGGTAATAGCTCTTCTTCATTTCTACTTCACGTTTAGATATCTTTTGTTTGTGTTTGGGTTGCCTGCATTCTACCAAAACCGTTTCCGTTCCACTCAGTAGTCGCCTATTCCTTCTACGTGTTCTGTTCGTCTGAGGGTCTTTGTGTATGTGGTTGAGGAATTCTCGTACATCTGGCTAGCCTGTTCAGTCCATTCCTGGGTTTCAGCAACTATTGCACCTTCTGCACGGTAAATTTTAGTGTACAAAATGCGTCTGTTATTCATTCGCACTTTATGTCCTCGAGAAAAAAATCTCAGTAGATGATAATAACATTCCTTGATCTGTATTATATGATTAATATATTTTTCAGTTGATAATGTTACCTTTGATGAACTACCCTTAAAAAATAACCATAAAAACGAAATGAAATTATAAAAATAATGAAAAAAGAGAATAATTTTGCGTTCCATCCCCCAGGGCGCCGTCGTAGGAGGGACGTCAGCCACCTCGGGAGGATTCACGCCGACGCAGTCCAGCGATTGCGCTCTGGTGAGTCTGGCCCAGAGAGTCGCACTCTGGAGTCTCTGGATATGAGGCTTTGGATCAGTTTCTCTCTCTCTGTGAGTCTCTGGATTGGAGTCTATCTCTGAGCTTCTCTCTGTGAGTCGCTGCGTCTGAGTTTCTCTCTGTGTCTCTGTCTCTGAGTTTCTCTGTGTCTCTGTCTCTGAGTTTCTCTCTGTGAGTCTCTGTCTCTGAGTTTCTCTCTCTGAGTCTCTGTATCTGTTTCTCTCTGAGAGTCTCTGTCTCTGAGTCTCCTTCTGTGAGTCTTTGAATCTGAGTCTCTTTGCGGATCTGAAGAGTCCCCGAGTCAAAAACGAAAAGCGCCTCATTCCGTGTCTCATCATCTGACGAGCCGTGTTGTGTTTGCAGGCACACGGGTGCGTGCCGTGGCAATACTGCCTCAACGGGGTGTACAAGTTCAACCCGAGTGTCAACCTCGACGTCCGCTCGCCAGCCAAGGTTCCCGAACACGTGAGTGCCGGATTTTTAGAAACTTTGAAGTTTTTGAGTCCGTTTTTGTGTTATATAATTTTCTTTGATGACGTTGGAATTATCATTAGTTTGCCTTTTTAAAATCAATGTTTGTTACTAATCACTCACATACAGAAACACAGTATCCAGCTGACCTGAGTTTGTCCCACACTGTCAGCGGATAGAGAACACAAATTATCTGTCACGAAACCCTAAATAATAATTATGATTATCATTGGTTTTGTTGTGGTTCTCCTACGCACATACACATACACAGTATACAGTTCTTGCAAAGGCTGTATGTCGCAGTCAACCTTTCGAATCCCTCCCTCGAAGTCGCCCTGACGTCGCTCCTCCAACAGGTATCTCAAACATTGTGCGGACAAATCGGCAACGTCTGCTGTCCCATTCCCGAAGACATCCTTCTGCAGCAGCAGCTGGCACAGGCGGGCGTAGGCGGTGGCGTCGTCGCTGGGGTCCCTGGCGCTGGGGTCCACGCCGAGCAGACTAGTGCTGGCGGCGTCGGCGTTGGGGCCTCCGGCTCTGGGGTCCACGCGGGGCAGACTAGCGCCGGCGGTGCTGGGGGCTACGGTGGCTCAGGAGGCATCATCAGCGGTTCTGTGAGCGGCGGGGGCGGCGGGGGCGTCGTCGGCGGCGGACTTGAGCAGACCAGCGGCGGCGGGCATGGGCAGACCGGTGCCCTTTCGAGCCAGTGCGCCGTTGGATTCGACTGCGTGCCCAAATTCCAGTGCGAGGGCGGCGATATCAACACCTCCGGAATCGGCCTCATCAACATTCGCTCCAAATTGGTCAAGGTATGTCAGATTCCATTGCAGCCCAACGCTTTTTCTGCAAGACAAATTCGCACGTGATTTTGCATTAGATACTACCTATCTTTTGTTTAATAGATAATAAAAAAAAGATACCTAACATGCAACCCCCTCCCAAAAATAAATAAATAGATAAATAGATAAATAAATTAAAAAATCGAAAATCCAAAAATCATCAATTCAATGCATGCACACAACAAACAGTTTCACCTCCAACTAATAACCCATTAACGTCCAGCAAACAACTCAGCCCCCAGTAAATGACCAATCCATAACCTCAAGCACAATAAATGACGAATAAGCACTAGAGCGTCGAGTACCCCCACTGACCGCCCCTCTCCCCCCCCTCAGTGCTCCAACCCCGATTACCCGACCGTGGAGGCCGTCTGCTGCAAGATCCCCGGCGCCAGCGAGCCCAACATCCTCACGTGCCCCGCCCCCGAGGAGTGCGTGCCCTACGGACTCTGCAAGGAAGACGGCAGCATCAACACGGACGGCTCAGGAATCCTTGATGTTAGGATCAATACGGTGAGGAAGGAGGGGTATGTGATGGGGAAGGAGGTGGTGGTGGTGGAGGAGAAGGAGGGGAATTGGGGGGGGAGAGGACAGAGGGGAGGGAAAGGAAGGAGAGGAGGAGGAGGAGGATCACGAAGGGGGGGGGAGGAGAGGACAAAGAAGAGAGCAAGGAAGGAGAGGACTAGGAGGAAGAGGAGGAGGAGGAGAAGGATCACGAATGGGGGGGGGGGGAGAGGACAAAGAGGAGGGGAAGGAAAGAGAGGAGGAGGAAGATCAAGAAAAGGGGGATGAAGGAGAAGGTTAGGAAGAAGGAGAAGAGGAGAACTAGGATCTAGAGAAGGTAAAGGGGGGGGGGGATAAGGGGTAGGGGAAAGAGGAAGGAGAAAGAAGAGGAAGGGAAATGGCCAGAATAAGTTGAATGAGAAATGAGTAGGGGACGGAAGGAGAAAGAGTTGGTAAATACGATTTGTTATCTTACATTGTCTCGTGTCTCTTGGCAATTGCCTCTTTCTCTTTTTCTCTTTCTCCTTTGGCCTCTCCCTTTCCTCCCCTTCCTAGTTTTCCTTCTCCTCTCTCTCTCTCTCTCTCTCTCTCTCTCTCTCTCTCTCTCTCTCTCTCTCTCTCTCTCTCTCTCTCTCTCTCTCTCTCTCTCTCTCTCTCTCTCGCGGACTAAGAGCCACGGCGCTGACCTCCCCGCCCTTCCTCCCGCAGCCGTGCCACCTGGGACTCCGTGAGCTACGAGAAGGGCGTGTGCTGCCGCCCGCCGGGCCCGGAGCCGCTGGAATCGTGCCCCGGGGGCCTCGTGTGCAAGCTCGAGGGCCAGTGCGCGACACCTGGAGCTGTCGCCGACGATGGGACCTACACGGTGAGGATGCTGGGCCCTTGGTCGCTCGCTTGACCCTCTACACACGCACGCACACACACTATATACTATATATATATATATATATATATATATATATATATATATATATATATATATATATGTATATATATATATATATATATATATATGTATATATGTAATATATATATATATATATATATATATATATATATATATATATATATATATATGTGTGTGTGTGTGTGGTGTGTGTGGTGTGTGTGTGTGTGTGTGTGTGTGTGTGTGTGTGTGTGTGTGTACAAGACAGTGATGTGATTTGCATTAAGCAAGTTTATTGGAGTCAAAATTCCAGTTGTCTAATCTATTTTTATTTATATTAAAATTACATTGTTTATCATATTTATGTAATTATTATGATTAGTCTCATTATCATATTATTGCCATTATCCTTATCAGTATTGCCATTATTCTTACCACCATTATCATTATCCTTATCAATACTGTCCTTATACTTCTCATTATTGTTATTAGCCTTGCCATCATTATCATTATCCTTACCCTTACCACCATTTTCATTATCCTTATCCTTATCATTATTATCATTAGCCTTACCATCATTACCATTATCCTTATCCTTACCATCATTAATCTTATCCTTATCCTTGCCATCATTATCATTTTCATTATTGCCCTTATCATTGCCCTCATCACTCTACTCGCCCTAACGATGGCCGCTCCCCCTGCAGGCATGCTACACTGGCTCCGGAGCGACGGGCATCTGCTGCGAGCCCCTGGACGTGTGCCCTG